AGGACCACTATAGTGCCAGGAAAACATACTCGTTTTCCTGGCACTATAGTGCCCTGAGGGTGCCCCCACCCTCAGGGTCCCCCTCCGGCCCGGCTCTGGAAAGGGGAAAAGGGGTAAAACTTTCCTTTTTCCAGCGCTGGGCGGGGAGCTCTCTGCCTCCTCCGTTCCTCCCCGTCGGCTGAATGCGCACGCGCGGCAAGAGCTGAGCGCGCATTCAGCCGGTCGCATAGGAAAGCATTATCAATGCTTTCCTATGGACGCTTGCGTGCTCTCACTGTGATTTTCACAGTGAGAATCACGCAAGCGCCTCTAGCGGTTGTCAATGAGACAGCCGCTAGAGGCTTTGGGGGAACGCTTAACCCATTTATAAACATAGCAGTTTCTCTGAAAACTGCTACGTTTATAAAAAAAAAGGGTTAACCCTAGCTGGACCTGGCACCCAGACCACTTTATTAAGCTGAAGTGGTCTGGGTGCCTAGAGTGGTCCTTTAATTAGTTTGGACAACTGTACAAGTTGTTTTTTTCTTAACTTAAACCTCAGTATTCAGGTTTTATTGCCGTGTTGACACTTTGAGGAAAAAAAAGTTGTCATGCATTGCGGTTTGGGCACTCGGGCTCAAAAAGGTTCGCCATCACTGTTCTAGTGCTTTGTTCAAAACCTTGTCAAACCTTACAACCTCAGTCATCACAAATTCATATAATGCAAGCTAAACTTTCTACCTCTTTTTATGCTTAATATAATGCATAATCAATGTGCAACAAGCTTGTTTGTGATCTTTTCATATGCAGTGATTTGTACTGAAACCTCAATGAGATTGCCTACATTTACATGTCACCCCCTCCTCCAGATAGATAGGGAAATTGGTAATAGTGTACTCCTATCATCTTATTGCTCCCTTCAGTGTATTACATAAATTCCCCGTTGCTCATTTGCCTGAAGTAACTCTTCTCACCATTCTTATAGCATGTTTCTGTGTTCAATCACTCCCTGGTGCAGCTTTCCTATATTTTGACCATTTTGCTGCCTGAGTCTCTCGTGTTCTGCATTTCTGCAATATTTTGATTTAAAACTAGATTGACTAAAAAAAAACAAAACAAAAAAAAAAACAGAAACAAAGTAGCTAAAATAGATCAACAGAGCCATGTGAAACAAATGAGATCTAGGAGAATGCAGGGTTGTTCTGTACTTCTGGTGCTGTCAAATAAGTCAATGTGTTTGGCTGTTCCAGCAACCTACATGGATCTATTTATTTTCCATTCATAAGAAAATGTAAAACACACAGTGTTCACGTGGGCTGATAATAATGTGGAATCAGAACCGTTCAACTAATGTTCTACTTGTTCTGCAACCATTTCAGTGTACTGTTCGGGGGGCCTACTGGAGAATAAATCTGGTGTTACCTGAGCCGGATTCACTGCATTTATAAGAAATCTAATAACATCTAATAAAATAAATACCTGTTGGTGAAGGATTTTTCTTTGCTAATACTGGGAAAATGCTCTTATACTGGGAAACTTACAAATTGCTGCAAAAATCGAGGAAAGTGAGTTACTCAAGAATCTCAAATATGACATTACAGCTTCTTCATGCTCATCCTCCTGATCATCTTGCTGCGTTTGACACAGCTAACCACCTCTTCCACTTACAAGCAATTTATCTCTTTACCATATGTGGCATGTTAGTTTTCTGGTTCAAATCCTTCCCTGGCACAGGTTCTCACTGATCCTCTCCACTAACTATTAATTTTGATTTAACTCAGGTGTAATTCTTTAAACTCTAGCTCTTCTCCATATATTTATCCATCCCTGAAAAATTACCTGATACCATTAAATTTTTAGTATCAGCTGCATGATGATGACACAGTCCTTAAAAGGACACCCCCGACCCATAAAGCACTCTGCTTGCTGAAAAACTTTATGTGTGAAGGGTTTGTCCTATTTTTAATGTAGGAAAGAGTGCAGATTTATAGAAAGTGACACTTATTTAAATTTACCTGGTTACACCCCCTGGCATTTGTAAGGAGACAAGATGCACTATTACTTCCTGGTTGTCTAGGTCAGTGGAGCTAAACTTAAGAGGCAGGAATTGCCCAGAGCACCTGCCTTGCACAGACTTCTAATTGGGAAGTTTGTGATTGTACAGTCACATAAAGTCTGGGCGGGGTTAGAAGAGAAGGCCTTGCAGAGGCAGCAGACAAGAGTAATGCAGTTTTGCAAGCTGTTTTTAGAGATAACTTCTCTCATTCTTCAGCTATCCACTGTACTTTATTCACTAACGTGAGAATTGCTAAAATAGCTGAATTAGAAAATGTTGTCTTTAACAAGTCATACTTGATATCTCTTTTGCTATTTTGGCCTTAAATTTAAAATTCACTTTGAATTCTGCTGAATTTTGATTTTTTTTTTGCTGATGTTTCTAAGGAGCATTTGTTCTGGAAGAACGCTTAACTGTTTACATTGAACTGTTTACTCATTCATATATCTAACAAATATATATTGGTGGGGCATAAAAAATTAAATTAAATATAGAAATCCTTGCCTCCTATTCTGCCAATTTGGTGAGTCCATTGCAGTTCTTGTTGTCAATAATTTTTTTTAAGGTTTGTCATATGCACCTTTGAGAATAGGTATAGAGATGAGAAGAAATTAAACAATGTTTCTATTTATCCTCTTCATTTGAAATACTTGCCCTGGCTTTGCCTTGTCTGAACTGGATTATGATACAATTTACTAAATCTTTCACATAAATATAAAAAAATGGATTATCTCACGAAAAAAAAACAAATATGTTAACACAAGGTGTGACGGACCATTTGGCACCCGGACTGGTTACCTCCATTAAGCTCGCTTCCCTGCTCTCCTCCAGGACACAGGAGTGCTTCAGCTACTAGCCGCCGCAGCTTGGCTGGGGCCTCACCTTCACTTCTCGCCCTGGAACAGGGTCCTGGGTCCTGTTTCAAATGATTAAGCTCTCTTGCTGAGAGTATAGCTGATCCACCCAAACACTAGCTCAGACTGAGTGAAGGGTGAAAGGACTAGACAAGCCCCTCCCATTAATCTCTGTGCCTGGTAGATAAATACCGGTAAGCTAATTATCTCCCAGGAACAAAGAAGCAAACACTAAAATATAAAACATAAAAATACCCCCAAAACATCATAAAAATATATAATAACCCCACAAATAATATATCTCCAAAGAGCAGTGATCTGTGCTCCCCAGTTCTCCAAACAGCGCTCAGATCCATGCAGTGTAGGGGTAATGCCACTGTGTTAAATTTCTGACCCGCTGCACATGTGGTCCTATGCCCAAAATATTCCAGGGGGTTGGGTGCTTTGGATGGTCAACTTTTGGGAGCTTCTGCATTTAAAATATGGGGTGCTCCATCTGGCTCTTAGGTAGCATTTGTGCACTTAGTCTCAGGCACCTTCCCTCCAAAAAGTGCTCTCCTGGTGGGTTGCAGTCGTTCAAAACCCATGACCAAGTCACCTCGTGCTGAAAACAGTTCCATAACATTTGCGGCTAAGTATCAGGGGCAACCAGGGAAAGCTGCTAATGGCAGCTGGGCAGGGTTAACGCCTGAACAGAGTCTTTGTATATGGCCCTCAGTCCTTGGGCAGGAGGCTAGCTAGCAGGCTCCTCCAGGAGCTCGTGTCATATACATATTTTCCACACGAGGTATAAGTAATTATCAATGTTTTATTCAATAGTGTAAATTCCAGAGAGCGACTTTTCCTCATTAATGTTTCTTTTTTTCCCTCCCACTAGTGAATATTGCAAAACAGATAAATATGTCAGTCAAGTAAGCATGCATATTGCTTACTTGATTTTATAAATTTAGATGACACAATGATTTGAGCCCCAAAGAGGATGTGAATGAATTACCGCTGTATGTATATATGGATTTTAATGATCAAATGAATCATTAATATGCAGCAGATAAAAGATTGTTTAGAATTTCTGATCTTTTAAAACAAATCAATATCACAGAATTCTAAAAGCTGAAGGCCAAATCAAAAAGTAAATAAGAAAAATGTAAAAGAACCCCAGGTATATTGAGACCGATAAGGATTAAGCATTTCAAAGTGAGACCCTGCTGATAAAAGTCATTTAGCAAAAATAAAACCTGCGGTTGGCCTGCTTCACAGTCAGAAAATCACATCTGCTTATATAGCTTGCTATAATCCCTTTTTACAGCTTCATACACAATGGTATTTATGTATACCTTACAGAGTTTATTTTACTAGATGGACGTAGAAGATATTTCAGTACATCACAAGTGGACACAATTTAAGCTATTTATGGTATATATTTAAAATACACCTGCCAATTGTTTAGATGTTACCATAATTTTTTGTATTTCTGTAAAATGTTGAAAATATGTGTACTATTCAGCATTTATCTGTGTTCCTGAATTAATTTGATCTCAAATGTGATATACAGTAAATAAAGTGAATAACTACAAACAATATAACTAAACCAACCCACACAATTCACTGGCTATGCAAGATATGAACTCTAGTAGAATGCAAGAGTGTTTTGTAATCCTGGCGCTATCAAAGGAGCCAATTTGTTGGCTGCCCCAGCAACCCACGTAGGTCTATTTATTTGCTATTCATTAGAAAAGGGAAAAAAACAGTGTTCATGTGGGCTGAGGATAATGTGAGGTCTGGACCATTCAAATAATGTTCTGTAATTCTTCTTCTATGAAAATCTAGTGGCACATCTATTGGGGATTAAGTTAAGGGAACCTTAAACCTGACTTGCTGTACTGATTATGAGAAATCTAAAAAAAAAAAAAGCATATGCTGTTGGCTAGGGTATTACGCTCAGCATTATTATTCTCTAATTTAAAGCTTGTATCATTTCTGATGTTCAATCCCCAGACATAGACACTCAGAGAGAGACACACACACACACAATTTGGAGAATTTGTGAGAGGAATGGAAATTTTATTTTAACTGAACACATCTTGCATTGTTACAAGAAACGTTACATTCCTTCACAGGCATATCATTAGACATTATTAGACTTGCGCGTTCGGTTTTGGCTGAATGCAATGCGAATTTAGGCCAGTCAGCGTTTTGGTTGAATTCCGTAAGTCTGAAGTGCCATACGGATGACTTGTGCAGTGGTTGAGCATCTTGATTTGCTTCAGTTTTCAGAATTCTGCTTATGACACCAAGAGATGCTAGATGGGAAAATAATTAATGATGGTTAGGGGAAAGCTATTAAATGTTGATTTTATTCACAGATGAAGTGAAAAGTGACCAATACAGGAAATAAAGGAAAAGCAGTGATGACATATAAATCTAATATTTAATAAATATATTTAATATAGAAATAATTATTTTTATTTCTTGTTCCTCCTCTTTTCTTTATTGGTTACTTTTTCTCACTTGAATTGTGAACCAAATGACTGACAAATCTAATATTTCTATGTACATAATATTTATATTATGTGCATATATTCCAGTATACTGATATGCTCATATTTGCATCCTTTTTTGTTTGTTTTCCAGAATATTTTTCATGGGCGATATTCAGGCTAGCTGAATTATCAAATGAAAACGTGTTAGAGGTCATAACCAAAATTTGATTTTGGAAAAAGGGTTTGGCTGAACCAGGGCCGGCCTTTGTGGTGTGCGATCTGTGCGGCAGCACAGGGCGCCATGGCAACAGGGGCGCTGGGGGCGGCCAACATAGCTCACAGTGGATCACAAAGAGGCCAGCCCAAGTTAAGTGCTGGGTTTACAAATGCCAGAGCAAGTCAAGTGCATAGTGCTGCTATGCACTTGACTTGCAAATTATGAGGGGAGAGGTGATCAGTTGCCAAGATCCGTTGCAGACTGAAGAGGTCTGGAGCATGGAGGAAGAGCGAGGGGGCGCAATGTTCACGTGCTACGCCTTCACAGGGAGCCGCGGCAGGCTCCGATTGGTGCGTGTGAGGTCGGCGGCCAGTGCTCTTAAATCGGCGACCCGGCGGAGTGGAAAGCTCGATCCAGAGAGCAGCAGCCATTAAAGTGAGTCCTAGTTCTTATTGCTTTTTAAACTAAATATATTGACTTTTATTGAAGGGGTGCAGGGTTGTTGGGGAAGGGCGAAGGAGATTGATTAAGGTGGCAGGGTCTTATAAAGGGGGGCAGGAATTGATGGAAAGGGGGCAGGGGATTGGTGAAGGGGGCAGGGTCTGTTGATGGGGGCAAGGGACTGATGAAGGAGGGCAGGGGACTGGTGAAGGAGGGCAGGGAATGATGAAGGGGCAGGGACTGGTAAGGGGGCAGGGGAATGATGAAGGGTGGCAGGGTCTGATGAAGGGGGCAGGGGATGGATAAAGGGGGCAGGGGACTAGTAAAGGAGGGCAGGGGCTGGTGAAGGATGGCAGGGGGCTGATAAAGGGGGGCAAGGGACTGGTAAAGGGGCAGGGGATTGGTGAAGGGGGCAGGGGACTGGGGAAGTGGGGTAGTGGACTGGGGAAGTGGGACTGGGGAAGGGGGGCAGTTGACTGGGGAAGGAGGGCAGGGGACTGGTGAAGTGGGGCGGGGGACTGGTGAAGGAGGGCAGAGCATTGATGAAGGGGGGCAGGGGATTGGCGAAGTGGGAAGATAATTGGTGAATGGGGGCAGGGGACTGGTAAGGGGGTTCAGGGGATTGATGAAGGAAGCAGGGGATTGATTAAGCGTGTCAAGGTCTGACGGAGGGGTGCAGAGGATTGATGAAGGGGGGCAGGGCATTGATGAAGGTGCAGCCAGGGGTTTTGTTGAAGGGGGCAGGGGTTAAGTGAATGGGGGCAGGGGTTTTGGTGAAGCAGGTGTTTGGTGAAGGGGAGGCCTGGGGTTTTGGTGAAAGGGGGGCAGGATTTTGTAGAAGGGGGTGGAGGCGGCAGCTTGTGTGCCTGAAATTGTCTAGAGGGGGCGAAACAGATACGTGGGGTGAAGAAATGAGGGAGAGGCTATACATGATTTAACACTTAAATGGCAGAGAATTGAGCAGTGACACTGCAGGGACATGCTCTATACACCTAAACTGCTTCATTAAGATAACGTTGTTTTGATGACTGTAGTGTCCCCTTAATGTACATTATTGTTACCAGTTATTTATTATTGTAATTGTTTGCACTTGCACTTAAATTATCTGTAATTAAAACAAATTATTTCTTACAAAGGTTTTTTTCCCTCTTTGTGTATGTCTAGGTGACCGGGGGAAGGCGAGGGGGGGAGGGGTCAGGGCGCCTCAAGATTGGCTCGCACAGGGTGCCTAAACACATAAGGCCGGCCCTGGGCTGAACCAAATTCTTCCCCTGTGCAGACTTTATTACTAACTTAATATATTTCCCAATAATAATCACTACATAGGAATATATTGTCTGTAATAAGTGGACAATATTCTTTTGTAACATTTATAACATTTCATTTCAGCCCATCTCACTTAGCTCGAGTTGTAAAATCTCTTTCTTGGGCCAAAAATAATATGTTGTACAACTCTAACAATGCCTTGCCAGCTGGGGATCTACTATTTGCCAATTCTTGCATGGTTGCATTTAGCACAGAACAGTTGCTTGTGTGTTTAAATGTAAGCATGTGTCTGTATGGAGTATGTGTGTGTCAATGTAGTGGTGAATTTGTGTGTAGTGACGCCCATGCTAAGACATAGATGCACACATTAACACACATACAGATGAGTATATACAGATACACAGACGCACATATACACACATTGACACACATACAAATACGATACACACTAACACACATGCAGATGCACAGAAACACAGAATGATACACAGACACAAACACTGACACACAGATACACATACAGACACAGAGATAGATAGATACATGTGCAAAATGTAAATTTGTAGCCACTGTCCGATTTCCTAACTTTAGGATCCAGCATTATGGCTTCCTTGGGTTCAAGTTGGCTGCATGAAGCTGCTGGGAGACAGAGTCTTTCCCAGTCCCTCCTCTCTTCCTCTCTTGCGTGGCTCTGTGCTATCTGGGAGAAACGGACCATCAGTCACTTCCTCTCAGTGGTGACATTAAAAGGGACCTGGTCTTGCTGTTAAAGGGCCACAGCGCTAAACCAGGCCCCTGAGGACACATTGCCATCCAGTAGCCCTTACTAAATGGGTCATGTAGTTGGTCCCAGTGCAGTCACACTGACGGTAGTTCCACTGCTGTTTAGAAAATATTTACTAAAACATGTGGCTTGCTTTTGTAGTTAACATCTAATATATGCATTTGGTAAAAGTGTACCCACAAACAGGTCAGAAATCCACTTTTAATTAATGTCCCTTATTTTTATAAGCCAAATTAATTATTTTGCATTGATAAAATAAAATTTTCTAGTTTCTACAAAGTCCTCCAATTAATTTAGTCACATTGCTCTTCTACAAACAATTAACACTAGGACAATTTGGTGCAATCTGTGCATAGCCACATTAATTAAATAGCATTATAATTACTCGAAATCAGAGGACCTGCTATTCTTTTATTCTCTTTGACCTTTAAATGACTTTCTACCCATGTGCAAATCTAAATACTTTCTTTGAAATATCACACCTTTCAAATGTATTGGTACAATCTCATTTGACCCCATTATGCCAATCTATATCGTAGTCCCTGCTCAAATTGTTATCTGAACAGGAAAATTAGCTCCAATAACATATCTATCCATTTGCCTGTCTATCTATCTAACAAGAATATCTAGTAAACCAGGGAAATTGAATAAATTATTCGATAAAAATATAGAACAGGAAGTCAGCACAAAACAAAAATTCTAAAACAGCACACTCCGTTCTAAACTTATAAAGTTCATAAAATAAATCTATCTTTGGTAAATAGTACATCAAAATAATTGCTGATATCTTTTTACGATTCGATGTGCTGTCATTACAACTTTTACACAGGTGACCTAGCCTAAGCCCAGATGAAATATTGTCAGTTCACCTTTGTTGTGGCTCTATTAAAGGCACATTGAGTTACAGGAATATATTTTTATTACAATTTATTACATTTCTGAGGGAATCTAGAAGTGTGATTTTTTTTTTCCGATGTCTGCTTTGGGATTGTCTGTCGGCATATATGTATTTAGTTAACTTCTTTTTCTTGAAGGCTGACGATTTGATGCTTGTTATAGAAGAGCATTAACAGAATTTGGTGACAAGTGTAGTCTATGCACCAAAACTATTACATTAAGATAAAATAGTATTGGTGTTTATACATTCAATATACACATCTTCCAGTGGAGGGTGGCCCAGGGCGGCAAGTGAGGCAGCAACCAGGTTTATGTTGACACAAAAAAAAAATAATAATATAGCACTAAGCAGTCATTACAATTTCTATTATCCCCTATATTGATGACGGAAATATAGCTATTTTAAACAGGACATGGCATCTCATGGTATTAAATTGGTAGAGTCCAATCAATCAGGCAGGGCAATGCCGCAAATAAAATGCAGCAGTCACTATTGCTCTTGCTGTAATTACAACCAAAAAGGGTCTCTAATGAGAATTTTTCTCAAGTAATGAGAGGTGGTGAACATTTTTAAGAAGACTTCTGTGCAGTGGGAGAGCTCTAATTGCAGTCAGAACTGGGACATGCGTATGTGATTAGTGCAAGTTGCACTCCCAAGTGGCACCTGCTGGCATTAAAATGAAAGCAGCTAGAAATAGCGTCTGCCCTGGTATGTAACTGTCACTAATCTCAGGCAGCCACTTAACCCCTACACTAACAATATACTACAATACAGTAGGCATTAACACCACTAACAATAAACATTAACACTACACTAACACTATCACTAACCATTAACCCATGCACTGCTATAAACATTAAAGAAACACAATCATGTCATGAAAACACATTCCTGACACAATAGTGGTAAAATAGCAGTTTAGGCTCGTGGTACCACTCTCTTTACTTTAAAAAGTGTTTAAATTCTTTTTTTCTGTCACCATGCCGGTCTCGTTGCGGCTTTTTTTTCCACCTTACTCTGCCTCTGTGACTAAGATAATCAATTTTGATCTCAATCTCAGCCAATCTAAGGCTTTCCCATCGGAAAGCATTGGGAGGCTATTGTGCATGCATGGCAAAATCAGCATATCCTCATAGAGATGCATTGAATCAATGCATCTGTATGGGAAGCGTTCCACATCTCAACGCCAGTGCTGCACACTGTGCAGCAATGAATCAGGAAGCACCTCTAGTGGCTGTCTGAGTGACTGCCACTAGAGATGTTACTAGGCAGTAAAAGGGACAGTCTATAGACACCATAACAACTACATTAAGCCAATAATGCGTGCAAAAAGGCGATTAGATTTGCTAAACCAACCCCAAAGCATGTTTTAAGTACATAAATTCTAAAAAAAAAATTAAAAAAATTAAAGTGTAGGTACACTAAAAACTGAAACGGGGTGTTAGTTAATGAAGACCAGGAAAAGGCAGGAATTCTAAATAACTGTTTCTCCTCTGTATATATTAAGGAAGAACCCATGGCAATAGATGTGCAAATGATTGCTAGTAAAAACTTGCAGAATAGTTGCATTAACTCAAGACAAGGTGCTGCAGCAACTAAAGAAAGTTTAATATAAACAAAGATCCAGGGTTTGACGATATCCATCCAAAAGTACTTAAGGAACTAAGTGTAGAAATAAGTGAACCTCTGTTTTTAATCTTTCAATATTCTTTTCTTTCAGGAAGTGTTCCGGAGGATTGGAGGAAGGCAGATGTGGTTCCTATATTCAAAAAGGGTTCAAAATCCTTGCCTGGAAATTATAGACTTGTGAGCTTAAAGGACCACTATAATGCCAGGAAAACATACTCGTTTTCCTGGCACTATAGTGCCCTGAGGGTGCCCCCACCCTCAGGGACCCCCTCCCGCCCGGCTCTGGAAGGGGGAAAGGGGTAATAACTTACCTTTTTCCAGCGCTGGGCGGAGAGCTCTGCCTCCCTCCTCCTCCGACTCCGTCGGCTGAATGCGCACGCGCGGCAAGAGCTGCGCGCGCATTCAGCCGGTCACATAGGAAAGCATTCTCAATGCTTTCCTATGGACGCTGGCGTGCTCTCACTGTGAAAATCACAGTGAGAAGCACGCAAGCGCCTCTAGTGGCTGTCAATGAGACAGCCACTAGAGGAAATAGGGGAAGGCTTAACCCATTCATAAACATAGCAGTTTCTCTGAAACTGCTATGTTTATGAAAAAATGGGTTAACCCTAGAAGGACCTGGCACCCAGACCACTTCATTACGCTGAAGTGGTCTGGGTGCCTAGAGTGGTCCTTTAACTTCTGTGGCTGGGAACATATTTGAAAGGTTATCAAGGGATAATGTTAAAGAATTCCTTGAGAAGAACATGGTTATCAGCAAAAATCAGCACGGTTTTATGAAGCACAGGTCATGTCAAACTCAGGGGTCTGTTCTGGGACCCCTTCTATTTAACATATTTATAAATGATCTTGAAGAAAGCATTGAAAGTCATGTTTCAGTGTTTGCAGATGACACAAAACTCTGTAAAATAATACAAGGTGAGCAAGATATTACTTTGCTGCAGAGGGATTTAGATAGACTGGGGGACTGGGCACTCAAATGGCAGATGAAATTTAATGTTGAAAAATGCAAAGTAATGCACTTTGGCGTAAAGAATACACAAGAAACGTATACCCTTAATGGAAGCGAATTAGGGATAACAACACATGAAAAAGACTTGGGAATTGTTATAGACAACAAACTATGCAACAATGTGCAATGTCAATCAGCAGTGGCCAAGGCCAGTAAGGTATTGTCATGCATGAAAAAGGACATTCATTCTGGAGACGAGAATATAATTGTGCCTCTTTATAAATCACTGGTAAGACCACATATTGAATATGCTGTGCAATTTTGGGCACCTTTTCTAAAGAAGGATATTATGGCACTAGAAAAAGTGCAGAGGCGGGCTACAAAATTAATAAGAGGAATGAAACATATCAGCTATAAAGAAAGGTTAACAAATTTAAACCTATTTAGTTTAGAAAAACGTTGCATGAGAGGGGATATGATAACATTATACAAAAATATTCAGGGCCAATAAAAACCATTGTGTGGAAATCTATTCACAAACCTGACTTTACATTGGACACGAGGTCATGCATTTAGACTGGAAGAAAGAAGATTTCGTCTAAGGCAAAGGAAAGGTTTTTTTTACTGTAAGAACAATAAGGATGTGGAATTGCCTGCCTGAAGAAGTGGTTTTATCAGAGTCCATACAGATGTTCAAACAGCTACTAGATGCATACTTGCAAAAATAGAATATTCAAAGATATAATCTTTCAATGTAGGGTAATAACTGCTTGATCCAATGATAAATCTGACTGCCATTCTGGGGTCAAGAAGGAATTTTTTTCCTAGCTTGTTGCAAAATTGGAAGTGCTTCAAACTGTTTTTTTTTTTGCCTTCTTTTGGATCAACAGCAAAAAACAAATGTGAGGATGGCTGAACTTGATGGACGCAATGTCTCTTTTCAGCTATGTAACTATGTAACTATGTAATTAGGCTGCATGTTGTTCTGGTGACTATAGTGTCTCTTTAACTACTACACTAATACTTAAAATTAACCCTTAGAGTACACTAACACAACCCGTAAACTAATTACAATAACACTAACCCCAACCTAAAATATCATGTAATATAAAAGATATATAACGGCAAAAAATTTACTAATGCTATCTCAAGGTTTTTTCTTGGTGGTAGTTGATGTGCAGAAGGGTATCCTATTTGAGGTTTTGCACATAAGCAGAAATTGAAAATGTGCTGAAATGATGTGCATGCTCTAAATAGAACATAATATCTACATTTAAATTAATCCTACACTTTTTTTTATCAATAGGGAATAATCAAACTGGACGAGTTAATTGCTTCTTTCTAATTTTTCTGTGCTTCATTTAATTAGCCCAACTTGTAATAAAAGTGATTATTTTCACTAGACGTTTGTACGTGACTAAACACTTCATTGTCAGGTATCTGTAGTCCACCTGCAAACCCACTGTCTAAAACACACTGCTCTAAAAGGGCAATCACAATAGGTCACCCTACCTTAGAATACTAATTAATACTTACAAAATAATGTTTCTTTCTCATTTCCACTTTTTATTGCCCATTTATTAAAAGGGCTGCTAATAGTCTTTACATTAAAATTTAAATAACAAAAGTGTAGGAAATAAGACTAAATAAAGAGGCACACTGTGCACCATAAAAACTACATGTTCACTACAGTAGTTATTATAGTACAAAGTTTTTTTTGAGCAGGTGAAGGAAAAATTGAGGTTTAGATGGCTAATGTGGGAGGTCATTGGAATACAATTTTAACAACACTTTAGTATAAATAATAATATTTCCTTTTTTTGTGTCTCTTTAACAAGTTTGTGAATTATGTCTCTTGAAAGTACATACATGAGACCATTTAAGGCTTATAAAATCTAAACTAAACTGAAATGTTAATTAATGCATCCTATTCTCAAGTCCCTCATTTTTAAACTAGGTAAAAATATTTTCATAATGAAATTTTATAGGGGCGGACTTAATCCTGTAACATAAACATTGCAGTTTCTCACATTGCAATTTCTTAAAAGGAACTCGTCACTGCAGCCAGACCACTTTATTGAGATGAAGTGATCTTGTGTCTATAGTGTTCTTTTATACCATTTTATTTATGTAAATAGATACGTGTATACAAATTAAATTGCTGAACATTTTTTCCTGGAAAATAGGGCTGTACTTAAAGGGCTACTCAATAGGCATCAAATCAACTTTATCTTGATGACGCAGTTTGGTTATGCAGATCATGCCCTTGCAGTCTTACTGCTCAATTCTCTGCCATTTAAATTATTCTTGTTCTCTTTCATACAGCCCTAGCAATACCATCCCTGGCTGTGACTCACACACCCTGTATGAAACAATAATGGTTTCACTTTCAATCAGATGCTAACTTATGTCTGACATTTTTATCTCCTTCTCTGTAAATTGAACTTTAATTACCAGGGCCAGACTGTCCCACTGGGAAAATGTCCCCTGGGCCAGCTTACCTTTGGATCTGTGTCCATCCACATAGTCAATTGCTAAGTGACCAGCAGCAGGGGAAACACATGGACCGTAGTAGAGAAGCTTCTGTTTCCGTACCCGGTCTGAAAGGAAGTGCTTACAGTGAGCACTGATCTGATTTCTGTCAGACTTGGGACAGGAACAGAGGCTCCCCCACAGCAGCTCGGTCGCACTACAAGAAGGAACAGGAGGGCCTGGGAGGGGGATGGGACCCATGGAGGGGCTTTGCAAGAGAATGGGACACATGGAGGGAAGGAAAATAAGACAAATGGTGGGGGGGGAGGTTGGGGCAAATGAGACAGGTGGAAGGGCTGGGAGGATGAGAAACATGGAGGGGAGGGAAATGAGATACATGAAGGGACTGGAGGGGAATGAGACACATGGAGGGTCTGGGGGAGAATGGGACACATGTGGGGAATAAGACAAATTAACAGATTGGGTTGGGTGGAATGAGACACATGGAGGAGTTGGAGGGGATTGGAAACATGGAGGGGGTAGGGGGAAATGAGACATGGAGGGGTTGGGGGGTTTACTGAGACACATGAAATAGTTGGAGGTGTTAATAAAACACATGGGAGGAATTGGAGGGGTGAATGAGGCACATGAAGGGGCTGGGGGTAATGAGACACTTGGAGGGACTGGGGAAGGAATGGATTACATGGTGGGGCTGTCGGTGAGAAGGAGACACATGGAAGGCTGTGAGGCTTAATGAGACACATGGAGAGTCTTGGAGGGTAATGAGACACATGGAGGGGCTGGGTGGAATAAGACTCACACAGGGGCAGGGGGAATGAGACACAGGAAGTGGCTTGAGGGGAATGAAACACCTGGAGGATCTGAGTGGGACACATGGAGTGGCTGGTGGGGTGAATGAGACACATTGAGGGGCTGGAGGGGATGAGACACGTGGAGGGGTATAGTGGGTAATACAATCAAATCAAGACAATGTTTTTTTACAGTTGTGCAATACCATTTCAGTCCCATTACCAAACTTTTCTCAATATGTCAAAGTAGTTGGACTGAAACATGTGCAGCGCATTATTGGGCTAGTATAGAATGGCTTCTCCATTTTGGCTTTAATATATACTGTGTTGTTCTTTATCTGAGGTTGTATTTGCCTAATTTTAAGACCTGCTAAAGAACAGATGATTGTTATTATGGCCTGATATTTAAAGCCATAGAATTCAGAGAGGGTGTGCTTTCTTTTTCCTATGACTGTATGTATATAAATAAATAAATAAATAAGTCTTGCCTTAACTTGTCAGTAAAAGCAAAAAAATTAAGAAACCCCTGTGGTACTCTGCTGATGTGGCCAAAATAGTAAAAAACTAAAAGTTAGCATTTAGCAATTACAAAAAAAACAGAGTGAGAAAGATAGACTGATCTATAAGATTAGGCAGAAAGAGGCTAAGCAAGTTATAAGAGCTTCCAAATCACACACAGAAGAGAAAATAGCAGAGTCAGTAAAAAGAGGGGACAAAACATTTTTTTAGATACATAAACGAGAAAAGAAAAGTAAAACAAGGATTAGTTAGATTAAAAACAAAATAAGGAAGGTATGTAGAAGAGGATAAAGGTCTAGCTGACTGCCACAATTAATATTTTTGTTCAGTATTTACAGATGAAAATGAAGGAAAGGTGCCACAGTTAATAAAAAGGACAAATTAGTGATTTGTTACATGTGAGTTTACAGAGGAAGAGATTCTGTTTCAACTGTCAAAAGTAAAGTCAAATAGGTCAATGGGGCCTGATGGAATACACCCAAAGTTATTAAAAGTGGTATACTAGCAAAACCATTAACATATTTATTTAACCAATCATTGTCAACAGGAGTAGTTCCAGAAGATTGGAAGTTGTGCCCATTCCCAAGAAAGGTAGTAGGGAGGAGTCAGGCAACTATAGGCCAGTAAGCCTTACTTCAGTAGTGGGGAAAGTTGGAAACCATGTTAAAGGATAAGATTGTTGAACATCTAAAATAACATGGATTTAACGATCAGAGACAACATGGGTTTACATCAGAGAGATCATGCCAAACTAATCTTATTGATTTTTTTGATTGGGTAACTAAAGTGAAAGATCAGGGTGGTGCAGTAGACATTGCTTACCTAGATTCCAGTAAGGCTTTTGACACTGTTGCACATAGAAGGCTTATCAATAAACTGCAATCTTTAAGTTTGGATTCCGATATTGCTGAATGGGTAAGGCAGTGGCTGAGTTACAGGCAACAGAGGGTTGTAGTTAATGGAGTATATTCAAAGCATGGGGGACCCATTCTCTTTAATATTTTAATTAGTGATATTGCAGAAGGTCTTGATGGTAAGGTATGTCTTTTTGCTGATGATACTAAGATATGTAACAGGGTTGATGTTCCAGGGGGGATAAGCCAAATGGCAAATGATTTAGGTAAACTTGAAATATGGTCAGTGTTGGGGCAGCTGATATTTAATGTGGATAAGTGCAAGATAATGCATCTTGGACGTAAAAACCCAAAGGCAGAGTACATAATATTTGATAGAGTCCTAACCTCAACATCCCAGGAAAGGGATTTAGGGGTAATTATTTCAGATGACTTAAAGGTATGCAGACAATGTAATAGAGCAGCAGGAAATGTTAGCAAAATGCTTGGTTGTATAGGGAGAGGTATTAGCAGTGGAAAGCAGGAAGTGCTCATGCCATTGTACAGAACACTGGTAAGATCTCACTTGGAGTATTGTACGCAGTACTGGAAACCGTATATCCAGAAGGATATTGATACTTTAGAGAGATTTCAGAGAATGACTACTAAACTGGTTCATGGATTGCCGGATAAAACTTACAAGGAAAGGTTAAAGGATCTTAACATGTATAGCTTGGGGGAAAGACGAGACAGGGGGGATATGATAGAAACATTTAAATACATAAAGGGAATCAACACAGTAAAGGAGAAGACTATATTTAAAAGAAGAAAATCTACCACAACAAGAGGACATAGTCTTAAATTAGAGGGGCAAAAGTTTGAAAATAATATCAGGAAGTATTACTTTACTGAGAGGGTTGTGGATGCATGGAATAGCCTTCCAGCTGAAGTGGTAGGAATTTAAGCATGCATAGGATAGGCATAAGGCTATTCTAGATATAAGATAAGGCCAGGGACTAAGGAAAGTATTTAGAAAATTGGGCAGGCTAAATGGGCTGTCACATTTTATGTTTCTATATACATACATACACATATATATATTTATTTATTTATAAAATATTTTACCAGGATGGATACATTGAGATTTCTCTCGTTTTCAAGTATGTCCTGGGTCTTTGTCCACAAAACGTTGCATTGTTACACTAGGATACAATATTACAAACATCCAATATACAAACTATATATGTCTCGGAGAAGTAGGTGCACTCATGTTTTTTGTTTTTCTTTAAATAATAGTTATTTATTGCATATAAGCAAAAGTGACAAACTTGTCCCGATCGACATTTCAACCCCAACCTGGGTCTTTTTCAACTCATCAGCATGAGATAGGTTACTGGCTTGCTATGGAGCTTGACGTTACTTATAAGTATAAGTATAAATAAGTTGTGGTGGGGAAAAAAGTGTGGATGAAAACCCGTTCCACCTGAAATAAGTGGACAGTTAATGCAATGTTAAACACAAATACACGCACCAGGCAAGCCATAAGACTTGTTTCTACCACAGAAATCTCACTTTAACAGTGCTGTCGTCTACCCAGAATCCCTTGCAGTCCTGAGAGCACTGTTAAAGTGAGATTTCTGTGGTAAAAGCAAGTCTTATGGTTTGTCTGGTGTGTGTATTTGTGTTTAACATTACATTAACTATCCACTTATTTCAGGTGGAAGGGGTTTTCATCCACATTTTTTCCCCACCACAACTTATTTGGTATATATATATATATATATATATATATATATGCAGTTGTGCTCAATAGTTTGTATACCCTGGCAGAAATTGTAAATTTTTGGCATTGATTTAAAAAAAAAAAAATGATTGATCATGCAAAAAAAAGTTTTTTTTTTATTAAAGGCCATTTATTATCATATAGTTGTTTGTCTCCTTTAAATCATAATGATAACAGAACTCACCCAAATGGCCCTGATCAAAAGATTACATACCCTTGAATGATTGCCCTTTTTACAGACACACAAAGGCAATTAATGGTTAATTTCCCACACCTGTGGCTGTTTAAATTGCAATTAGTGTCTGTGTATAAATAGTCAATGAGTTTGTCAGCTCTCACGTGGATGCACTGAGCAGGCTAGATACTGAGCCATTGGGAGCAGAAAAGAACTGTCAAAAGACCTGCGTAACACGGTAACTGAACTTTAGAATGATGTAATAATGATGGTAAAGGATATAAAAGGATATCCAAAGCCTTGAAAATGCAAGTCAGTACTGTTCAATCACTTATTAAGAAGTGGAAAATTTGGGGGTCTCTTGATACCAAGCCAAGGTCAGGTAGACCAAGAAAGATTTCAGCCACAACTGCCAGAAGAATTGTTTGAGATACAAAGAAAAACCCATAAGTAGCCCCAGGAGAAATACAGGCTGCTCTGAAAAAAGATGGTGTGGTTGTTTCAAGAAGCCCAATATGACTATACTTGAAAAAAAATGAGCTGCATGGCAGAGTTGCCATAAAGAAGCCTTTACTGTACCAATACTACAAAAAAGCCTGGTTGCAATATGCCAAACAACACCTTGATATGCCTCAAGTCTTCTGGCACAATGTAATTTGGAGTGATGAGACCAAAATAGATCTTTATGGTCACAACCATAATCACTGTGTTTGGACGGGGATCAACAAGGCCTATGTGATGCATGGTGGTGGCTCACTGATATTTTAAGGGTGTGTGAGCTCTAAAGTCCCAGGGATTCTTGTGAAAATTGATGGCAAGATGAATACAGCATGTTATACAGGCCAACAATTTGAATTCTTCTGCACAAAGGCTGCACATGGGATGCTCTAGGACTTACCAGCATAACAATGACCCTAAGCACAAGGCCAGGTTTAAACTTCAGTGGTTACAGCAGAAAAAGGTGTTCTGGAGTGGGCATCACAGTCTCCTGACCTTAATGT